TCTTCATTTCTAACCTTTTCTACCCACGATATCCTCATCATCCGCCTATAACACCACATTTCGAACGCTTCTAACCTTTTCTTTTCCGCCGCTCCCACTGTCCATGTTTCGCACCCGTACAACGTCGTGCTCCAAACATACACCTTTAGCAACCTTTTTCGAATTTCTAAGTTAACCGTTCGCGAGCATAAAAGTGACTTCTTTTTATTAAAGGCGACACGACCCTGCGCTATCCTCTGCATTAAATAATAGATAATCAATATTTATTCCGGCTGAAGTGATTGTTCAAAAAATTTAACTTTTAACATGGCAGACGTTAAATTTATGCTACAGTTTTTTAGCTAGATAAAAAAAATCATCAATTTCTTCTCAAAATTCGTTAAAAATAATATTGAATTATTTTTTATTAACCATGACGTTACATTTTCCATATCGAGGAAATAACCACTTTTCTTCGTTATCATATTCAGCTCAGCATTCCTTAATCAGTATTAAGGGCGTCAAGTTATCATTATATCCGAAATAACTAAACTGCCAATATGTAATCTAATCTAGTCGAATAATCTAGATAATTCTCAAAACTTACAGACTAATGCACAAACTTCAAACTAACTGAACTAAAGGTGTTGAAGCTGAATTCTCTCTAAACAGGAAATATACTGGTCCCTCCAGGCTGTTGGTTGTGCAAACGAGTCTCGTTCAACAAAAAAAAATATTAAATAACAAAACTGAATGAAATTTCCTGTATCTAGCTAACACCGTAAGATCGTAATAGCTAAAAATCTGAGAAAATTCTAAGGCATAACTATCATAAGGTTAACGTCTAACCAGTTTTAATTTTTTTTAACAATCGCTTCTGTCGGAATGAATAATAATTGATTATTTAATTCCGAAAATTCAATGTTGTTCAGTTAGAAAATGAACACTGCATGTCGGCTTGAATTATATTAAGATAGAGACTTAAGGAATATTTTTTTAACCACATAAATATTCGAAAATAGTCAAAATAAGGTCACCCTTGTGGTCATCCAAACAATTATAGGAATGTGAAAACCACAACAGATAAATTGTGATTCCAAATTGTTCGAATTTTACTTTGCTAATTCAGCTACAGCTTCTGCATCCACAAGTATCAATGTAATTCTCGCCTTTTCTTCAGATAGTAAGCAAATTTTTCACATCATCATCATAATGTCGTCAGTCCTAAGACGGGTTGAACACGCACCTCCACTTTTTCCTATACTGAGGTAATTTTTGCATTTTCTTAAAACTAGAACATCCCATTACCCAAATCCTTAACTATTCCTGTACCAGTACCTAATCTAATCTAGGTCTACTCCTCTTAGCTCCTGTCTTTTGTTTCTAATATATCTCTAACAAGCCTTTTATGCCCTCTCTTCTCCTATTCTTTCTAATATTTCCTCATTGCTAACCTTCTCTATCCACGGTGTCCTCATCATTCGCCTGTAACACTACATTTCTTATGTTTCACAAAACAAAAATATAACTGCTGAGTTTTTGAAAAACCTATTCATTAAATTTCTTAGGTAATGGAAAGATTTTAATTTGATATAAACATTACAAAATCTGTTTTTGAGTATAAATAAAATAGCATTGTTTTCAAATTAAAATTGTCGAATCATTTGAATAAGTAAGTGAGCATTAATGGTTTTACTAGACACATGTTGATTTTAAAAGATTCTAATCATAGTACGTTTCTTCGAAAGTATTAAAATATATATTTCATTTATGTTTATTTATACTTGGTTACAGTAAGAATTTCTTTGAAAATTGAAAAGATCAAAAAGAAATCACTGTCGTTTGTCAAAATTACGTCACGGCCGTATAAATGAACAACTGATATAATCAAAAGAATTTAAAATAAAAGGTCAAAAATCACTGATTTATTTCCTTCGCTTCCAATTAATAATGCTTTGCAAAATGTAATATTTACAAAGCCATTACGCAATGAACAGTTAACAAATTAATAAAATAAAAATTTTTGAGTCAAACTTCGCAGTTCCGCTCACGTATTTGTTTCTGTGTGGACGTAATAATCTAGACTGCGTTTGTGACAATGACAGAGTGAGTTCTGTTATTTTTAAGTATTTTTTTATATTAACAAGTGTACCTACTAAATTTATAATCCTTTCGTATCTCGTTGAAGATGTCCGAATAACTGACGAAACATATATCACGTTTTTCTGACGTAATTGTTTTTCGAATTCCAATTTCACGAAAACAGAATCGTATATGTCAAAACAAAGTAGAATAATCGCTCTATTTTGTAAATAATTACCTAATAGTGAAAGTTTATATTTACTAGTCTAGATTTGTCATATTTAGAATAATATCAAATATTCACCCCCTACACACCAAAAACTGTTTCAAAAACTAACACGTGTTTCGTCATTTATTTATCGGCGCGAGTTTGTTCACGAATGCCAATCCAATATCCATGTGATTACTATCTCGTGTTGATAATACTTAACATTCAAAATAGTGAAGGACATGTCCATTTTCAAAAAAGTTTTTGTGAGTCTTTTCGTAATAAAATAGATAATGAAATGTAGAGTGCAAAAAGCTTTTTTTGTTTGACAATTAAGAACTATGTACTTGTGTATTCCCCCATGACTTGTCACATGGCTATTATTTNGAATCCATAGTTTCTTTAGATTTGGGTTCATCTAAAAATTTCGATAAAAATAGACATAATTCTACCCTGCGCTAACATTCTCACATAATATACTCAAAAAGTCCCGCCTTATCTACTCTTACACTAAAATACTAAGAAACAAATATTCCTATTTTCATTTCGCTCTTCTCCTTATTCTCCTCCAACTCCATTCCACCTATTGTAAGATTGTACGAAAATTTAATCCAATATCCACGACTTGTTTTGTCCATAAATCATGAGGTAACTAATGCAGCTTTGTATATATGAGAAATTTCAAAGCAGGTAATAATAATTATCTATTATCTATAATTGACATTATAACGGTTTAAGATTTGAAAAAATAAAATCAATATAGAGATGCAATAAAACTTACTACAAGACACCTTATTAGATCATTACGTACGATCAGTATTGAATAATATTTTATTGTAGACCTATGACGGTGTTTTAAAATAGTAAATAGATGTTGTTTGGCTCGAAGTAATCTTATCCAGTTCCAAATTTTCCGAAAATTAATATTTTTGTTTGTCAATTTCTGAAGACAAGTTTTATCACAAACGAAAGGAAAATAATAAATTAGCTACTAAAACAAGAGCAGTAATATGTATATATCCGACGTCTTTCTGAATAATGATGAAAAATGATGTTCTTATTCTTAGCACTTTAAACTACAACCAAAAAAATAGTTGGACCTAATAAATTTTTGTTATGTATAGTTAAAGTTAAAACATGAATGTCACTTCGAAAGACCACCAATTGTTACCAAACATGGCTTAAAATTATCTATACGTTTCAAAATTAATAAGCTACACCAAAATGAGTGTATTTGCTTTATGAGTAAAATAATATAAACGGACAGACAAATGTTTCCAACTACTATGTAATATATACGACGGAAAAATAGTCTACTGTTGATTCTTTGCCAATAAACTTTTTCTCATTATAATATCTAGTTATGACAAAATAAATAAATAAAATTAATAAAAACAGTATAAGTTCTTGGTCAGATGTTTATCGCTAGTGATACCTAGTGTGACTTCAAGTGTTTATTTATATTTATTAATCGGGACTTCTTCTGATATTCAATAATCTAATCTAATAAGATGGAAATAGCGATTCACGTCTGATAATTTAGATGAATTGGTATAACGAAGAACCTATACTTTTCTTTTTTTTCAATATATGGAACCATAATAGTTTCCTTTTTAATTTGGATAACATTATGTTCATCAACACTTAAGTAAGTATTTTTAGTCCAAAAATCTTGGTATTGTTAACGCTGCCCCTGCTTGTATGGGATTGTTATCAAGCAGAGGTCCCCAACCATGGAATATTGCTCAACAGTATATTAAGGATGCTTGCAAAACTGCCTCAGAATACTGTAAAGTAAGTTAATAAATAGATTTTCTGTTTTTACTGTCATAATAAGTAAAAGAAGGTTTAAAAAAAGAGATAACGAAAAATACCAAAATGATAATTGTTTTCTGATTATCGCTGCTAATTTTCTATTTATAAGTACACTTCAATAAGTCATTAAAAAATGTTATTAGTTAATGTAACAGCTATTTGGCTTATTGATAAATGTCGATTACTGATTTTGTTTTACATAGGAGCATGGAAATATCGAATTATGTCGGTTAGCTTTGTATTTTTCACTTAATCAACCAGGTCCTCATACCCATCTTATTGGAATGAATACCAGACAACTATTGAAAGAAAACCTTGATGTTTTATTTAACGGGATAACTGATAATGAGAAAGAAGTTTTAGAATACCTACAAAAGAAGTAAGACCTTTATTAGCATTCTTGATTTATATGTACATCAACTCGTTACCAAAATATTTTTTTAGTGTCTTTTCCAAACTTAAACAAGGACATTGGGAAGGCATAGAAGTAGCAAACTACAGAAAAGCAATTTCCACCTAATTTTTCTTTCTAAAAATATACATATTAATTGTCAATTGATTTCCTATATTTTAGAGAAGCTTATTGTGTTTGCTTTTTACAATCCAAAAAAAAGAAATAATAAATAAGTCTTTGCTATCTCGTACATTTTTATTTTACATTTTTCATTATGACAAAACAATCAAGAGTGAAACAAGGTATATCTAATATTTGGGTACCAGAAAAAAAATATTTAACAAACGGTTTCGGTATTACCTGAAGTCAAAACAAAAAAGCTCATTCTTATTTTACATTTTTTTACCTCAGAAGAGAAGAAAATATTTAATCCCTTTATTGTCAAAAGAAGGGAGAGCATAACTCAATCATTAAGTTGTCATGTTCAACTTTTTTAGTTTACATGGAGAAAGTATTGGCAGGTAATAATTTATCATCATAAGGTCGTCAGTCCTAAGACTGGTCGGACACACACCTCCACTCTTTCCTATCCTGAGCTAATCTTCGCATTTCCCTAAAACTAGAACAACCCAGATCCTTAACTATTTGCGAACAGTAATCTTAATCTAGGTCTACCTCTACCCCTCCTAACTCCCGTTTCTGCCTCTAATATATCTGTGACTAGACCTTGATGCCTGAGAAAGTGTCCTACCAACCTATCTCGCCTATTCCTTATTGACTTCCATAAAGCCCTCTGTTCTCTTACTCTTTCTAATACCTCTTCATTTCTAACGTTCTCAATCCACGGTATCCTATCATTCGCCTGTAACATCACACTTCTAACCTTTTCTTTTCCGCCGCGCCCACTGTTCATGTTTCGTACCCGTACAGCGCCGCTCTCCTTTAACAATCTTTTTTAAATTTCTAAATTAACCGTTCGCGAGCATAGAAGTGACTTCTTTTTATTGAAGACCACTCGATCCTGCGCTATCCTCTGCTTTATATCCCTACTACTCCTTCCGTCCTTACTTATCTGACTTCCTAGATACCTAAAATCTGCCACACCTTCTAATTTTTCGTATCCTATCTTTATATTTGTTCTTTCTCTACTTTTCCTTCCCTTGCATACTAGTATTTTTGTTTTACTTTTATTTATTTTCATACAGTTCTGCTTTATCAATACCGCTTCCAATTTTATTTAAAGCTATCTCTAATTCCTCCTTGCTAGATGCTAATACTGCAATACCATCTGCAAATCTAAGCATACTAATCTTTTGCCCCTGTATATCTATCGCTACAATTGTACTGTCTTTAATGATGTTCATAGCGTCTTCGATGTATAGATTAAAAAATAGCGGTGGTAGTGTGCATCCCTGTCTGACTCGCTTCCTAATATTTGCTTTTCTAATGTAATAATTACTTGTAATAAATTCTCGCACCACTTTTATTGGCGCTAATGATAAAAAAAACCTGTGAGAGTGAATTACAAATTTAGTAATTCAAAGAAGATCGTCAAAGAAAAAAGCAGGTCATTAATGAGGTAAACATTTTTACTTAAAACTGAAAAGTTAGTAATTTACCAAAACATTTTTCATAATACTTAATTTAACCAATGTGTAGCTTTTCCAAAATAAAAAATACAATTTATAATTCAACAAATTTCTTTTAACGACATTTTAAAAAGCTCGTACATTAATTTGTTTGCGTTGTGCAATCGTTGTTAAATACATTATGCATTCGAGTATAACGACCAAAAAAATGACTTCAGATCGTGGAAGTACCCACAAAAATTTCATACACGTGTCTAAAATTCAAGGCTGAAGTATGCTTGTGTGCTTTCTTCTTAATGTCGGAAGAATTATGTAGATAATCATTAGTCATGAGCGTACCCACTTTTGGAAATTAAAAGGGTAGCGGGGCTAAAAGCTGTATGAGATTTTTGTTAGGAGTTAAGAGGAGTAGAGGTAGACCTAGATGAGATCACTGTTCTCAAATAGTTACGAATGTAGATTGTTCTAGTTTTAGGGAAATGCGAAGATTAGCTCAGATAGGAAAGAGTGGAGGTGTATGTTCAACCAGTCTTAGGACTAACGACCTTATGATGATGATGAATAAAGTAACAATTAATTGAACATAAGACCTTAACAAAAAATAACTCCAAATCAACTATTTATCATAAATATTGCATAAAGTATAGCAATACAACTACACTAAAAGTAAAACTAGCAAGCAATTGTTAACGATGATGTTTTAGATAAATATACCTCAGAAAATACGTAATTGTGATGATATGTAATAAGATGTATTGCAATGCTGCAGATTTCCTTGTTGCATGATGTTTTTGAGAAAAACTACTGTGACAGACGAAGTTTGATTACATAATATACCCACATTAAATGTTTAATTCATTGTAAGTGCGAGTGTTGTATTTGTCACAAAACGTTGTGCATAAATATAAATAATTTATACCATCTTGCTACATCAAAGGACAGATAAAAAAATAATAAACGTGTTTTTAATATGCTAAACTGAAGTAGCCACATTTTCCGTCAATAATAAATTAAATATTTAGCAAAATGGTAATACGTCTGGGTCTGGTATTAATGGGATATTACCTGACCATCTTTAATTTGACTTTCAAATAAGATTCGTCATTGTATATTAAACAAAAAGTTCTAAAAATTTATGAAAAAATCGTCTAATTTTTTGTATGCATTTACACGTCAATGATCCTTTCTATTTCGTCTGTTGTAAATAAAAATTGATTTTTTACGTATTTATTCAATGCTTTACACTTTTTCTTAGTCAGTTCTAATGTTTTGGTTTGGTTGAAGGCAGAGCATTAGTATTTTTTTCCGAGTAAGTTATCCCAAGTAACTTAAATAATAACCGTAATATACAGGTTAATTTAAGATAAATTTATAGTCAATAGACTTTTTAATTATTCAAATTTACATATTTATTCCAAAATTGAAAAATAAGATTACCTCAGCACTTAGAATTTCTTGGACATCCGATGGTGTTATTGAAAGTGCCGTTAAGGATTCTAGATTGTGACAATTTGTGTATATTCTATGTTTTAATGGATATGATAATTCAGAATCCTGAACTTTATTAATTGTATGGATTTAAGCATTTGATCTGTATTTCAACTCCTAATCTCAAAGGATGAAAAATGTACGGCTTAGTAGTGGTCAAAGCACTGGTGCGTAAAGTCAAAGGTCCCGGGTTCAATTCCCGGCGAGGATATGACAATAGCAACAAATTTTCCCTCATTAACCTGAGGTAGTTTATAGTGGGTACAAAATTAAAAATGAATTTTCACATTAATATTTGATATTAACTAGTATTAAATGTCAAGCTATTCCTTTAAATACGATGCGCAAGTACATTTAAATATAAATGCTCAGTATTTAAATCGAAAAGGGCGATATTTTAATCGAAGTGGTCCAACTGACTAACCTTACGTAGTCGAGTAGTATGTACAATTAATTAGTGTAGTGACTAATTTATGTACCTACTGATTAACAAATATTTTTATACTGACCATTCTGCTAATAAACAACTGAACGGAAGTTGATTTATATACTGACCGAAAATGAATTTAAATACTGACCATTTAATTTGTTGCCTATGATTTTCTACGAAATGCCAGTAGAGTATATGCGAGATTTTCAATTATGAACGCGTGCTTTTTTGTATATGTATAATGAGTTATTGATCCCTAATAAATGAATCTTGAAAAATAGTCACATACACAGTTCACACACACTTACCGCAGATATTTTTGGACAGCAGCAGATCCTTAAAGAAATAAGTACAAACAAGAGGATTGTAGATATGAAAAGCGTACAGAGTATAATAATTAATAGTTTATTGTCTAACAATTGAAGTTTATAATAACTGTCTTCAATAATATTTCAATAGGTACTTATATTTATTATTTTAGGGTCATGTTTATTCTTTAAAGGATTCATATTAAT